CATGTTCTTGTACCTGCAAGGAGTTTGGCATGGGTGACGCGCGTCACAGCTTGCACTCTCCATCAAAGTTGGGCACTGTTTCTTTTCCTCAAACAAGGTTTTCAGGCAGTGATGAGCGCAACAGACATGTACATGTACAGTGATGTTTTCAAGCATGTCCAATTGCGATGTGCAGTCAAGATTGCAAGAGCAGCTCCAACAGTGGTGATGTGGCGTGGTGGTGACGTGGTGACGTAAATTGTTTGCAGAGCTGGAAGTGAGAAACGGCAAGAGGCAAAGCCACAATCCTCTACATGTCCTTTTCCTCTGAAAACTTTAGAAAACTGATTCTAAGTAACGGCAATTCAGTCCAGAGGGAAAATTGCACAAGTGTGTGTATATGTGCGCGTGTGTGCCTGTGAAGCGTTCTGGCATCCTGCACTGTAGTTGACAGCATAACAGCACTCACAGGTCACATCGGACACAACTTGGAGGTCTGACGAGCCCCTCTCAGGCAGCTGCCCACTGAAAGAAGAGGCGCTGAATTGAGGGACCGCACCTGACGGTCTCAGAGGAACGCAAGTGACGCAGTCTACAAGACATGTCGCCTGCATGCCTGCACTGTTTCGGGACTGCGCGGCAAAGCAAATGCGCTGAGGAAACTTGAGGCAGCCCTCTACTTCAGCTTCATCACGATGTTACGACAGTGCCAGCATGCTGTCAAGACAAAACACAACGCACGCCTTTGCCAGAAGGCCTCGTCAACCACCTGTCAGGCAGGGTACAGACGAAAGCCCTCAGTGCGCTGAATTCGGCTCCTTGATGGACGTAATGTACCCTGGTATTCTCTTGCATGCGAACTCCGTAGTCGAACCCCATCTCGCCTCGTGAGGGAACGAAGGCTCTTCCAGCGCTGCAACGGCCTGTATTTTCTTTGGAGCATACGGAGCTTGATGAGATCATCTCGGACAAGCGTGTCGAAGAATGAACAGAGTGTGTTGGTATTGGGGGAGGTCAAGGCTGGGCCACACTTGCTCCGCTTGCCCCAATGCTCTGACAAACTCCTGAATCCTAAGCACACATGGAGCAACCAAGCGGGGGAAGCTGGGAAAGGTCGCAAGAAATATGAAGAAACATAGACATTCACACAAAAAGAAATGCCAAACCTCAACCCTTCCGGCTTCAGAGCCCATATTCAAGTCCACTGCCTCCCGAGTTGGAGGTACCGATGTCGGTGCCGGCGATGGTTGTGGCCTCTCGCACTGCAATGGGATGGACTTCAAGGCCCCTCAAAAATCATGAGTGTTTCCACCTGCGAGGCTCGCCAACCTCGGCTCGCTCGCCGGGCTCGGGCCTGCAGGCTGATCAGATTCCCCCTCGAAGTGGATGACATTCGCAAGGTCCTAAAGCAACACACAAGTCTTTCTACGGAACAACTACATTTCCTGAAAACAAAGACCATGATTAACGGCAAGTAGGTAAAAGCATCTCCTGCCAGCAACCCCAGACCCGAAGCCTTCAACCTTCTGGTTGATTTTGCGCACACCCACACGACATTTCCGCACGCGCACCCTTGCTGCATCGTGGCTCTCGAGGCTTTTCGGAAAAGATGGAAAAGACTTCAGATACTGAAACCTTCTGGCCAACGTGAAGGCTAGATTCGGCTAGATTCAGCTGAATGCATATATTGCTTCATTATCTTCATTGGTCAGCCAGCGCACTTTCCATCACCACAGATCATGGAAGATTCCACTGGAAAGTACTGAATATTGTCTGCCCCAATGGTCGCCTAGGATCGTGCGGGCCGATGGCTGCTGATGGCGACGTCGGAAACGGGAAGTGTGTATTGCCTGCAGGTTTATGGCTGCTACTCTCAAGCGGGTTGGGGACAGCTGGCCATGCGCTTGTGTCGTCTTCTCTTTTGTTCCTGGCCAGCGAAGCCGCGCATTGACACCCGCAACCCTTAAAAATACTGAAGCTTGCACTGCGAAACAACGGAAGGTCTTGCATTTGGGTGCATGGCACGTCGGTAGTTGGGAGTATTGGGATACGGTAGTTTGTCATTGGACGGGAACTTGGGGTGGGATCTTGGGGTTGAAGCCAAAAGGTGCGGTGCGGAGGTTGAGACATGTTGAGACCTTGAGGTTGGAATTCAGGGTGGAGGCTGGTTGGCGTATACATGCAAATAGGCAAGGCCGTCACTAACTCCCTTCTGGGGGGCCGACAGGACGTGCCCAATTGTATGACTGTACGATCATGTACGATCTGCACGCCGCCTTACACCTCTGAATCCAAATTCACAGCAAGTTCAGAGCCTGCACCTGAACACATTACATCACTTGCCCCTCTCCCATTGGCCAACCCTCCCAGCCTCGTCCTCCATGTCCTCCATCGCACATCCCTGTATCCTGCGGTCGGAAAGTGTCTGGGCACAGATCCACCCTGGCTTAATCAAGCAGGTTCCAATCGGATCAACCTGCAAGCTGCAAGTCAAATAGCAGGCTCCGGATATCCGGAGGCTGGCTGCGAGCTGTCAACGAGATCATCTCCTCTCAGGGAAGCATGACTGCCAGTGTGTGCAAGAGGGTACCGGTTAGAGTACGATTTCAAGAGCATCATAGTTCGTGGCTGACGCATGACTTACAACGTCGGCTTTTGCCACTGCCGCATATGGCCGGTCTCTGCATGTAAAGTGAGACAAACGTCACTGGCCTCTTGCCGGGCTGTCTTGGGCTGGCTGCCTGACATGCAGTGAAATGATGCTTTCTCATGGCCACACTGCTACCGTGTGCCACCGTGATGGTTTCCCAATGCCAGGCCTCTCATTGTCGAGGTCTGGATCTCGGAGAGCCTGGTGAGTAGTGTGAGTAGAGGTAGCCAACACTAGACTGGGTTTGACCAGAGAAGGCCCTTGCCAACATCCTGGCGCATGCTGTCCCATAAAATTCATGCGGAGTGGACGAGCCACAAATCAGCAAGATTGTGGGCCTCCATGAGCGGGGCGTAGGTGAAGCAGCCTTTGCCTTGCATCTCAGATTCTTGCAAGACAGTGGAAATTTGGACAGGCCTGGCCCAGCCATCTTGGCCAACCTCAACACCCCGAAAGCCATTCGCTGATGGATCTTTGGGGGACAGAACCACGGAGTTGCTACAAAGCCTTCGAGTTTTAGCTTAAGAGGCCCGCTCCTCGCTCTGAACAGGCTCAGCAGAATCTCGAAGCTTTCAAGAGTCAACAGCGCATACAACACCTCCAACTAGCACCTACTTGAAAATTGTGATATCTGCCTTATCACGTGTCCTAGATAAGCCTGCGCCACGCATAAAAGGAAGCGATGATTTGTCTGATGGACCCTGCTACCCAAACGCACGGATGGCACTTGCGCTGACATCGAAATCCTCAAACTTTCAATTAGGTTGCATCACTCACGTTTCTCCAGCAGCTGCACCGATTGATCTTGGGGTTCAACTACAACCCTCCATCTTGTATCCTTGCTTGCTCCCGAACCACATAAGACTTGGCGTATCCTCTCAACATCCACTCTGACTCTATGCCCAGTGGCTGAAAGGCTCCACAAAGTCCATCAGGAAGCAGGCGGCGTCGCCATCTTCCTGCACAGGGACCATGGAGCCTCGCCTCATGTCCGCAAATCCTTCTGGGCTCCACTTCATCCACTTCCAAACGCACTTCAGACGCTCATGATCCACAGCAAGTTAACACCTCGCACGGACCATGGATGCACTGCAGTCCGACAGCTCCAATTGTTGAAGTAGTTCCTGCCTTAGCAGAACTGCTGCTACCACCAGCGATGGAGGAAATCTTACACCACCCAGGGTCCCTCTAAGCCATGCAATTACAGGGATCCAAGGGAGTTTCCTCCATCGACAGTAGTGTTGGCACTTTGCAAACCTGCGGCGGATCTATCTAGATATCACGAATGTCGTTCCTGCTTTCCAATCATAACTGGATGTCTTGCGGAGTGAGGTGATGCCCTAGGCCAAGCTTGATAGCGGCTGAAATCCTTGAGATGCAGCTCAGAGCTCGACCAGCAGCCAACTGGCAGCACGAGATCACCCTGCGTGCACTTTACCCGAACCATTGACCCATTTGTTGCCGTTTTTGCGGCCGCTGGCATGCACTTGCTCGAACTCTCCGTCCAAGCTACTAGAATGGCCTTGTCATCCATAGACCTTAGAGTGGGGAAGGCATAGCATGCTCACATGTGCAGGCCACATTTACAGAATGTTTTACCCAGAAGTGTGTTCTTTCCTGGAGCAAAAATATGTAGTCGAAGCAAATGTCCAGGCTATCCGGCCGAAGGATGCGGCCGGCTGTGAGCAAGAAGTCCTGCAGTGAGTAAAAGCATTTGTTCATGTTACAAAGCCAACATGTTCAACCTGTTGCGGCTCCCGCCTCCTCGGCTGGAGTCATGGCTGCACAGCTGGCTCCGTAGCTGCAGGCGTGCTAAATGCTTGTGGCTAGCCGTTGTCCGCGTGCTGAGCAGGGTTGAGGGATGCAACATTGTAGGTACTGATTGGGCCTCAGGGCCTGATCGGCTTAGGGTGCAGTTTTGGTTGGCCAGACGTTCATCATTCCCAGTCTTTTTGTGGGGCTCAACACCGACGACTGGCTGGCTCTCTGCTTGTATGATGCGATTCTGAGCTTGAGCAGGTACGCATCTTTCGCAGCAGGGTGGTGCGCTGACTGCTCAGGAGGCTGTCTGTACCAGCTGCCTTGCGCATAAGTTTCCTGTGAGAAGAAGCGGACCTGCACAACAGGAGAGAGTGGAACCGATTGTGGCAAACAGCGCCTGAGATGTTTCAACTCCGCCGGCATTTGCTCTGCTTCTACGAGGCAAGCTCTGACACGTCTCATGAAGACCTCGCAACCTGCATAAACAATGATATGCATGACGACTCCTCAAGGGAGAGGGACAAACTCCTAATTAAATCCGAAAACAATTTCTCTGTACCTAAAAGTCAGTATCAGACAATGTCACAGACACACCGCTCGCACAGGCAGCTCACGCTTCATTGGTAGAGGCCTGGCGCGTCATGACATTCACACATCTTTTACTCCAAAGGAATCGCGGACTACTTCCATGACTTCGTTCCGTCATCTATAGCTAAGCTGTGGCAAAAACAAAGAGCCATGCAATCCCACTTCCTGCTTGTGCCGCGGCATCCGCAGCCTGGCTAGACTTCACGGATGCACCGAGTAGAGATGGATAGAGACTTTCCCACAAGTACACATTGAAAATTGGTTTTCTTTCTGGGTATGCCTGACAAATAGCATACTGTATCATGCCGTGATCAGAAGGGCAAGCATCCGACTTCATGGCTAGCTGCGATGAGCCCGGCAGGGTTTTTCCTCAACGCCTGAGGAAAGCCTCCAGCACGTCTTGTGAGCTGAAAGCAAGCCAAGCACGCCAAACGCCTGCTAACTAAAGCGCTCAGACAGCTCAGGTGCGACAATGCACAGCACGCTCCGCTATGCTCCGCTCTTGTGACTTGCAGATGCTGCGGCATTCTTTTGCTCTGTGAAAAGCCACAGGCATTGAACCCCCACAAGGATATATGTGACAGTCTCTCTTGCTAGCCTCAGCCATCACTGCACTGCCGCGCCTTGAGAAACATCGGATTAGCACTACATGTTTGGGGCCATCATCAACGAGCTGGAAAGTTAGAGGGTTCACCTGCCTATGTAAGTAGGCTGATGCAACATCTTGCCAGCGAATACGCAATCAAAGCTCTTGCAACTCACAAACCCATTCCCAGGCAGTCTCCCAATGCAGTCAGTACTGCGTTGCCTACAGTAGCTGGGGTTCCAGACTTGCAGGATCTAAGGTGCCGCCGGAACAGCAGGCTGCATCACAAAAGGCTCATAGCTCTGGATCCTCATTTCCTTTCCAACTGTTGAGGGCAGGACATTACGGGTGTGAAACTCGGCCTCAGGACCGTATCTGCCGACGGTCACCTCTGGCTTATATAGTCAAGACAAAGACCCATCCACTGGTTAGCCAGGATAACACATTCTTCGAGCACGCTTCAGGCAAGCACTGCATGAAACCTAGCCAGATCTCTTGCCAGCACGTGGGCCAAAGCAACAAGCACAAGAGCGTGCCGGGAGAAGGCCAAACCGATCAGACACAAGCGACTTGGATGCTTCTTAGCTCTCCTTGCGCATACTTCGCACATCATACTGGCATATGCTGGCACACGCAGAGATCCCCAAGCCCCGTCGCGGCTCAAGCAGTGCAGCGCGCTAAAAAGTTCCGGTCTGACAGGTCTCAGGTCTCAAACACTCTCGTGCGCCTCTTCTCACTAGAAACACTCCCGCAACATTCAAGCGGCGGTCGCTTAGGCCAGCTCACAGTTTGAGACCCTTTCCTTGTAACCGCGCTTCCTGAGAAGCAGCATAGGATACCTCGAGATGCTGAGCCTGCACTTTCACCCCACCCGGTGACTACAGAAAGGCAGTCTGCGCACTTATACAAATGCCGATGTAGGCCTCCAAGCACTGAAGTTTTCAGTAAAGTAGTTCTTGTCGCCTCTCAGCGTACTCAAGCCACCGGATGGTCGCATGCTGGCAAGGCTCAAGAAGCTACAGCCGGGTACCTGTGGCTTCGCGGTCAAGAGCACGCTAATCTCACTTTAAATTCCACAAGGTCAGACTGACGCTCCGTCTTTCACGTGAGCTCTTCTGGCGCCTGGGTCAGACTATTCCAAAGCCCATTGAACTCATTCCAGCTGGAAAGGTTGAGTCTTTTTTTCTCAGCAAACCTGGGACGCAGCTGCTTAGGATCTACCAAGCAAAAGGGGCCGAGAGTTGTGCAGTACACACATGGGGAGTCTGCTTGTGGAGTCAGGCTTATGCCCTACAGAAGATCCGTCTGTGCACAACCTGCAGCGCCTAGCAGGAAGATGAAGATACTGGTCCTAGCCAACACGCAGAGGCCATTTACCTGGTCCTAGCAGTGCTGGGAAATTCTGCTGTCCGCTTGCCAACACTGCCAAGGCGGCCTGCGCTGTCCCTGGAAGGATGCTCATCATTTTCTCTCTCCTCAGCTGAGTGGCAAGCAGTCAGGCTCCGTATAAATGCGCGGACTGCGCAGCTATGCATGCCAAGAAGACCCAGCCATACTTCTTAAGACTCTGAAGTGCAGGGAGGGTATTGCAGAGGACCCACCGGTAGATTGTCAAACAAGTGTTTCCCTCACAGCTTCTCACTCATAGAACTCCTAAAGAATCTAAGATGGTTCGACAGTCTTGCAGAGACTGCCCAATGGTTATCTTTGGTTTCCGGATGTTGTTGGCATCCTAGTAGATCTTCTGGGAGACATGGATGCTACCCTGGAAAAACAGGCTGCCCTGCGTAAATGGAATGAAATGGGAACCCCAAACAGGGAACCAAAAGAATATACTAGGAAATAAACAGGAATACAAGGACCCTGGCAGGTAGATTCCTATTCTGTTCCTACTATGTTCGTGAGGTTCCCTGCTGGGGGAGGTTCCCATTCTAGTAAAGTCCTTCTACATTGGTAGCAAGCGCTGCATAAAAGTGCACAACACTTTACTTGCCAATGATCACCCTGAAGCGATGTGTACATGCACATGAGCCAGGCTTTCAGCAAGCGACGGAGACTGAGAACCTGTGTCAGCACGGACGCTTGCAATGCCTCCAGCAGCTTCCAAAGAAAGAAGCTTCTACAACGAGCCGCACCTTGCTACAACTCACAAGGAGTTACTTCGTCAGGGCTCCCATTGCAGCAGCTACGGAACTTCAAGCTAAAACGTACAGCCCCAATGATTTGTGTACAGCTACGTGGCTTCTTCAGCTTTGCACAGGAGTAGTGCCCATGAAGCAGCTCCCCCAATGCGTCAACGCACCAGTCTTAGGAAACTTAGCCTCTGCTGAAGCCGGTACCTGTCCAATCTTGCGAAATTGCGTTGACATATGTGAGATGACATAGCCTGGCCTTGAAACATGTGGCCTCAGAGATAGCTGCACCAGACGTGAACTATCTAAAGGAGAGAATCCGTGCAGCAACAGCAACAGCAAGGCCTGGCTGGACTGGCTGGATGGCAGCAATAGACCCCGCGCAGCGAAGCAGAAGCTTCAGAGCGCCAAGCTGTGATTGCCTGGGCGCAGGAGTCTACAGCCTGAAAGCTCTGATTTTTGTTGGAGCCTATGACCGATTTTTTGAACGTCACTTGATATGTATCGTCCAAATCCCTGTCTTTGCTGAGCATGTCATCCCAAACCCTCCAACATTGCACTGGCCGTTGCTCTGAACCCATCAATGGCTGGCAACGTCTTCCCCACATACAATTCGAAGCAGGGAAACAGCATCGGGATCACAGCCGAGCGCAACAAGTAGCCTATTTGTTAGAAGGACTGCTTTCAGGCTTGTCTCACAGACACACTAGATGTCGAGTGCCATGCGCCAACAGTATGCGCAGCTAGTTGACAGAACTAACTTTTCGTAGCTGCGCATTGGGCTATGTCTGAAGATTATGCAACAGATTGTTAGAGACACGCCACAAGATTTCAATGGTGCCATCGATGTAGTCAAGCTGGCTCGGTGCCCATTGAACCTCGGGAGAAGGAGCCAGCCAAGAGCTTACTGGCTCGGAGCGCTGGCAGCAGCATGTGATCGTGCCCTCAGGTCAGTCAAACCACCGCGATGCCGCATTGCTGCAGATGCTCCAAGAAAGCACCACTCCAGAAATGAAACTTGACCTTGTAAACCAAAAGCAGCCGAAGCCAGGGCACTGCAACCTGTGTAAAACTGAAAAGGCTCGGTGCTGCTGCAGGGTTAGTCCGGCGCGCAGCCTTGACCGTGGAACAGAGGTAGTCCACTAGGTACTCAAACTTAACGCTCCTCATTTGGGTTAATGGAGCCGAACCAGCTTCAGGTGCGATCAATAATTGGCTGTACGGAATGCGGGAAACCTGCATCAGAATCACAAACCTAAATTGCACAACGTACGCAAGCTTCATAACGAGTGTGGAGAGCATGAAAGCGATGCATTCTCCTAGACACATGATGAAACCTCCAGAGGTTTCGCCGCCTCTACCATCGTCTTTTGGTAGAATATTGGCATGAGCGATTAGGGAGAGCTCAAAGGTGGTAAAAGTGCAACTTTCCCAGCGTCTCAACTGGCAGCCTAGCACTGCATGTCCATTTTCACCATGCTGGACCATCGTAGCCGTGCGCTCTAACTCTAAGCTGAGCGCGCAGGAACGTGAGGTGTGGCAGCCCTGATCCATGAAGCTCATATACACATAGCTCAACGCGCCTCAAGGACCTCTCGAAGGATCTCAGTCCCAGCATTCGGAAACAGCGCCGCCAGCGGCATTCCTTGAATAAAAGTGCGTACTCGATATCTTGATAAGGTAGAGCTTCACTGGCTCATGACAATGAGCACTCTCATGATTACGCCTGCTGTTCCTAAAGCACGAAGGCCAACCGTCCAACCAAGCTCGAGGTCATCACGGCGAACCTTGTTTGATGTCGTCCTGAAAACTTCAACTTGGAGTCTGCTCTGGACACGTGAACCCAGAGATCTAGAATCCAGCAGCACATGTACCAAGTTGAACCCTCATGCCGGATTCGACAAGGCACCGACCAAACTGGTAGCCGGAAGCGACGCACACTCGACAACCCAGGCCTTGTGCGCAGCAGAGTCATCAGCATCTGAGAGTGTTGCTCTGGAGCCATTGCTCGAAATGCTAAGGTCATGGGAGATGCACAAAGCTGCAGCCCAAGCGCTGTCAGGTCCAGCTGGAGGCAAATGATTCCTCAGCGCTTGCGGTGCAAAAGGCGAGCTGGCCCCACCCTCCCCAAACAAACAGCAAACAGCCTTCCCAACTCAAAGGCAGAGGGTTCAACTCAACAGAAAAAAGATGATGTTTGCCTCTGAGACTCTCTGCTGCGTTCCTTCGGAGAACTGTTGGGACATGTCCTTCACAGCTTCTGACGCTGGATTACCTGAAGCGACAGGCAGGTGAACGCCTGACGTCGAAGCTTGGCGAGACAGG